TGGTATAATATCCTACAGTGATACATATATACACACACAAATACACACAGTTCCGTTCTATAAAGATGTTTCAGCATCCACATATTTCACAGCATGTGATTTTTCCACTTCTATTTTCACACTTTCTTGTTTTTCAGGGCTGTTTGAAAACAAAGAGGAAACTGTAAGGTTTAGTTCACTTTCAAACATTTTATACTTTACAAAGAACACTGAAAGTATTTACCTAGAGACACTTTTAGGATGAAATTCTATTAAATTTTAGTAATTGTTAAATACTATTCATAGGAACAGTACAAGCATAAAGAGAGAAAAAGCCAATTTCTCATCCATAAATACCATTTCCAATCCCACTGCTATTATTGATTTGAAACTGTTTCACAAAACATCTTTAAAAAGAAAAAAAAAAACAACAACACAGCAACCCGCAAAACTGTCTAGTTAAAACTACTCAAAATTACTTAACAAGCAATATTCCTAACACTGCTTTATGGGCAGGGAAACAATTTTGTTCATAATACAAATATTGTTCATAATACAGGAAAATATTTCCATCTTTTCAAAAGGGAGAAGCACACTTGCAGCAACAGTAGAGGACAGTTACAAACCTGCACAAATGTCCATTCAAGTGAAGTACAAGACACTAAAGACAAGTGGTTGTCTGGCACCCGAACAACTAACACTCTTAGGGACACAACCCACTGAACAGTGCCTTACCCAAGGACAAAAAGCAATGTCCCAAAGTAAAGGCAGGACAGCAGAAAATAAAATGGAAGAGGGTAAGAGGAAGGATTCTCTAGGTATGAGTTTTAGAAGAGATGACACACTTGTAGAGTTGCTCTCTAACGAAAAAAATGCACTAAAAATTCATACAAAGAGAAAAATTCTGGGACTCCTTGGAAAATACAAGTGTGCGCAGACTCCACAAGAGTCTGTAAACTATGACAGATTGCTGAGGGAGAAAGAAAAAGCAATCTGGATCAGTTCAGGAAACACAAAGAAAAAATTAAGAAATGTATTTTTTTAAAATATGTGATTTTTAATAAATAACACAAACCCACACAGCATGTACTCTGGAATTATAAGAGACATGCTTGCATTAGTATTTGAAACTGATAAATCTGAAAATAGCACTGCCTACAGAACCATTTTTACCACAGCACTAAACGTCTGTCCATACCACAAAATGAAGACTGTCGCACAGAAAAACCTTAACAGAACAGAGATGAATAATTTACTGGTAATTACTCTGGACTGAGCAGTGGTGACATCTCTAAATCTTGAGGGCACCCACTAGGCAAAAAAGTGTAGCAAATATCTCAAAACAGCAACTGAGCTAAGGCTCAAGGAAGTCCTGCCTCCTAGCATTTCCTAGATTAATATAATATCAGATTGCCTCTTGAAAAAGCTTGTTTCTGGCACCAGTGGTTTTTATTTTCAATTTATAGTTTTAGCAAGTTTTCTACCAAGATGGAATTTTTAGTGTATTAAGCTGAAGAAGGGCATGTTATGGAATAAAAGAGAAATGTCTAATAGCAAAACATAACAAATAGATGGAATAATGAATTCAACCTTAGTAATTAAAAAACATTGCAAACTTGTCAGAAGGCTGATTTGCTAGTGCTGCATATAATTCTATACTAAATTAACATACTCAGGAAACAGGAAAGCACAAGATGGGAGTTGGAAGCATCCACAAATTCTGTAACAGATTTCTGAGAATTCAGCATGAAAGAAAACAATTAAAAGAAGAGGGTAGACTGACAGATTTGCTCTGTTATCTATCTAATGCCTCTATTATTTGTCTTCCTGACAGTCTTGCTCATGTGGTACTCAAGTTTTAAAAATGTTTCAATTAAACATGAAATTAAACATTTTAGAAGCGTTGAAAGAAATACAGGCTAGAGGTTCACTTGAAATGGTGCCTGCACTCATGAGTCTCCTCAGTTTTTCCTCTTCACCCTTGGTTGACCTGCTGTCTGGCCAAAACAATGCCTAATTTGGAGCAACACACGTGCTGAATAGTCAGATGGTACACAAGTGCTAAGTGACCACTCACTTCTACTGTTTCCATGATGCAAGCTCAACGGTACCTGAGGCAGCTTGGACAGTTATGTATGAACATTCCCTTCTCACCACAAACTCCTCCACTGAGACATAATTTTATACAAAATCTGACAATTTCTCATCTCTGAAACACGCCTTCCTTTGACAGAATTGGCTGAAAGGGATCAGCCAAGAGAGATGCATAGACAACAGGACTGCATAAGCTTAGTGTCCCAAGGCAACCATGCCCATTCTCCCCTCTTTCCTACATAAAAGCTACTAAGCAATAGCTGCATTGTGATGGAACAGCCCACAGATACCAGTCCCTACAAAATACAAGCCTTTCAGGAAGTTGGGGATATTCCACATATTCAGGTTTTGGTTTATTTCCCTTGATAGATTTGGCCAGACAGGAAAGAAACTAGGACAGAACAGCAGAATGACTCATGGCATGCAGAGTTGGTTGTCTGATGGGGAACCTCACCAAGAAAAAGACTCCTTCCTAACCAGCACAGAAGATGTATGTCAGCTCACAGGGTATGTTCCCAGCACTGAGACTCCTGATCTGTCCAGTACCTCATTCCAACCTATCTTATGCTTAGTGAAGGCAGTATTTGAGCCAGGTTTACTTTTTATAATATTAAAAATGAGTTGAGGAAAATTAATCAAGCAACCCACCCACAGAACCATGGAACAGATCCTAGGCAACATAAAGCAACAATTATAGTGCTGGACTTACCTTTACTCCCAGTGGAATTTGTAATGTTGAGGATCAAACCAATCCCATGCTCATATACAGTATAGTATTTAGAAACCCTAAGCCCATCAGAGCAGTAAACACTTGTATTAAGCAAATAAAGAGTAACTTTAAAATTACTATTTACAATAATACATTTATTAAAAAATTCCTTATAGAAATTGATAAACTTCATAATGAAGAAAAATTGGGTTTGAATTCAAGTTCCTCTGAACTAAAAAGTCAGTAACTCAGATTTACAAACCATGTATACTCATTTTTTGGTATACATTTCAAGAAATACAAGTACAGCTGCAAAACACAAGACCACAGTTAGAAAACATGTGAGTAATTATAGCTACCTCAGGTTAGCTCTGGTTACTTTGGCATTCTCAGTACTCATGGAAAGAGCCTTCCACTGTGCAGTTTTGGCCATTTCGTCTGATATGTTTACAACTGAGGGATCAATGCTAAAGAACAAACATACTTTCTGGTTAGTATTCAATTCCTTGCAACAATATTACTCTTACTGTCACTCACCATTTACATCAGTTGTGCCTTTTCTCAATATTTACACAGCCACAAGTTGAGTTCATCTCTCAAAAATGTATTTCAACAAAAAATTGAAAATTTAACTCATTAGCACTACTGTAATCACACAGCATCTTGAAAGTTTTTCACATAGATACCACTAAGACATCAAGAGTATTTGAGAGATAACTCATATGGTCAGAAACTATCAACTTAATCTCACTGCTAAGACTTTCATAAACCAGTTACTTTCACTGGCTTCCAGGAAATGATCAAGGGCAAAAGAGCAAATGTTAATAAAATTTCAAAACTGGTATCTCAGGTGAGATTTGAAACTACTAAAAGCCTTACTAGACATTTTTCAAGGTTCTTTTGCCAGACCACTCCCCTCCCAAGTTCTGTAGAAGACAAGTTTATCCTCAGAGATGGTAAGTTTTTAAAACCTATTTCCACTTTTGTCCTCCACACATTTACATGTACAGTGGACTTAGGTGTTGCTTGTAGGTATGGTTTCTGTTCTGTTCCATACTTAAGCTTCACAGTCTACCTCAGGTTATCTGTAAGAGTTTTTCAAATGGAAGAGAAATCTTTCAAAGCCATTTTTCCTCAGAAATCCCCAAACAATACAAGGCAGCAGAGTACACAGTAAACACATGCACACAGTTGATGAAATCATAGATCTACCGTGAGAGCAATTAGCAACTCAATTGTGGTTTTTTTAAAAAGCTTTAGCATTTAGTATTTTCACTTGAATTGCTAAAGTCTGATTAAGCCTGCTCTTAAAGTAGTACTCATCAGCCATAATTTCTGCCTGTTCCCAATTCACATCAAGGCAGACCTGACACTACCCTAGATTCATAGGAAGGCCAATTTTTAACCTAGGAACCCTCAGAGAGGAAAAGAGAATTGGTAAGATATTTATCTGTCGTATCTTCAGAGTGTGTCAGAACAGTTAGTTGTAGAATACTTGACAACTCAGTTAAATACAAGCCCCAGCAATGGAGAGACATACTGAGACAAAATGCCTTCCAAAGCTGAAGAAATTTCCATCAGTGAAATTCCAGCACTCCCTTTTCTGGAAGAGAACCTGTCCTCACATTTACTTGCAGAAAATGACCTTTTACTAAAGTAAAAATGGGTGCCTGTAAAAAGGGGTTTTTGCACCACAGAAGTTACTGACTTTAGCCCTCACTAAAGTAAACCAAAGAATTACACACTTAGACTTCATCTGAAAAATCCAAGTGGCTGGTAAACACATGGCTCAACTGATGCTATTAGTTGCTTAATGCTCAGTATTTCATGCACAGTAGCACACAAATATTCCACAAAAACTGACCAAGGATGCTTCTTCAGCTGGTCGAAATTGAGTCATCTGATCTGTTCAAGATGGTCATGTAAATTTATAATTAAGATGCAGTTTTAAAGAACAATGCAACACAAAAATACTATTGTAGCATCATGAGATATATCTTCATCATTCCTAATCATGGCTTAGTTACAAACTTGGGAGAAAAAAAAATTAATTCAACCCATACACCACCAACTTAATATAAAGCAAATTACACCATGTGATATAAAAACTTTTAAAAGACATTTTATTATACCTGTATTTCAGGGTTTTTACAGGAAAATTCAAACTTGCTTCTCCGTATGCAAGGTGTACACTGTCATTGTCTGAAAGCATTCTCTCTGCTTCCTGTAAATTCCAAGTAAGAGGTTTGTAAAAGTAGTCATGCAGCAGAAACCAAAGTATCTTGTGCTGACAGTTATTCCATAGGGATGAGGGGAATACCCTGTAGGTACTGGAGTTGCACGCAGGAGACAAAGCTTATGACCTTTTCTCTTAGAAGTGTTTTATTCAGGAAGGGGAGATGGGAGAATGGGGAAGGAGGGTGCTACAAGCTTTGTAAGGAATTCAGCTAGCTGATGTACAGCAAGGCTGGACTTTTATGGAGAAGTTATACAAGTTACTATACTACTGGTAACTAGCAGTTGCCTTTAATGACAACTCTGCAAACACACATGAGCAACATATCCCTGATACTATCAACAGTTTTGTGATTAATTTAAGCAGGATAAGAACCCTACACCACCACTTCAGTCTCCCCTTCCTTTTTCTCTCTCTCTTCATTTTCTCTCCTTCTAATCTGATGAAAGACAAAAAACTCAACATTTTTTGTGCTAACTACTGCTTCTTTCCACTTTGCTTGGTAATTTTAATCACAAATAAGAATCATAGTCCATAACAGCATAATTGAAACAGTGACTTAATTCCTTAACTGTCAGCAACAGTTCCTCTAGAATTAAATCTCATTAGTAAAGAATTTCAAAATGTATATTTGGTATACAAGGTCACATGCTCAGGTCACTTAAAATTCTTTTTCATCTTATTATTTCCTAGTAATTTACAACATGCTTCGTTTGATTGTTTCACACTTACTTCTTTCTCTTTTATCTTTTTGTCATCTTCTTTCTTCTTTTTACTTTCTGGCATAAGATCATCAAGCCAACTAAGCTCTCTTTTGGTGAAACATAAATCCATGAGCTTGCGAATGAACACTAAAGCTAGAACCTTAAGGAAACCATAAATGAAATAATGTATATTTAACTGTTTAAATGAACAAAAATTCACACACACTTCCAGTACACTCAATCTGTAATTGAAGGCCTTTTTCCTACCGCTAGTTTTATCTTACCACAAAGTTAAATAATTTCCACTTTCAATAGCTATTCACTTTGAACTGCTTTTTTTCAAGAAATGAAAAGTCTTTGTGTTTCAAAGGGGTTTTTGGTTTCTTTCCCACTCCTTTCTTTCTTAAAGCAACAAACATCTTTTAAAGAGATTCTGGATGATACACATACTCTTGTAAAATTACTAACTTGTAAAAAAGAAAACTTACCATCATAGGGAAAACAACAGCAGCTGCAGAGGCTTTAATCACCCACAACAGAACTAGACAAGTGAGCTGAATGACTGTAAAGATATGAACCTTCCAGAGTGGCACATAACGTAGATAAATCAAGTCAGGTTGATGTTTGGCGGGCATTCCAAACAGTTTTATACGGTCAAAAAACTGCATGGAAAATAAAATCATCCTTAATTATTTTATGTCACTCCAGAAGAAAATAAACATTCTTAGGAGACTCCAGAAAGGTAAGTTAATTCCAAATAAAACACTAATGAAGGACACTGAATACTCAAGGGGGTGGAACTGGGGGCTATTTTGTTGGGTTTTTCCCTGCCTCACACTAATAATAAAAAATTCCACAATATTTCAGAAAATTTGATTCTTTGCTAGACTATTGAAGGAATATATTAGAAAGAACCAAGAAGTGAAGGCACAATACTGTAAGAACAACAGTGACACTCAGGAAATTATCCTACATGCTATTCAGACAATATGGACTAACATTATCGTGGCTCACATAATGCAGCATGTTACAGTTTCCTTTTCAGTCAGTGTTAAACAAATGGCTCATTAATATCATACTTTACCTGAATGCCTTTTAATGAAGATACTCCCATGTAAAGAAATACACCATACAAAACTGGCATTGGAATAAACTGCGAAGGAAAAAACACAGTTAAAAGTAGAATCACACAGCGTAAGATAGCAGTCCATTTCAGTGGAAGACACAGGCAAGTTATTTTTTACTTTATATTTTACTGAAGTGAAATCTGTAAAAGCTGAGGCCCTTTATTTATAGAGAAAATATATGTATCATTGAGTAGCAAAAAAATCTAGAACTAACAAGGCTATCACCAGGATTAAAAAAGCAGTTCCATCTTGACTGCACATTCATTCAATTTTCTAGGTTGCAACCAAGATTTGTATTCATGCTAAGTGTACTGTTTTATGTTGCAATTTGATAGGAACTGTATTGACACTACTCTATTCTGTACAACTTAATGAAATTGCCTTATGAAGTTTTACTTTTCATCACTTATCTTGCATTTCTGGAGCAGTCGAAACAAAAACCCCACCATACCAACTGAGCTATCAAAGTCTGCTAATTTTTCAGAGCTACATTTTGCTCCAGTAAGATCAATCTAAAGCTTACTACAGATAATATTTATAATCATTTAAATAATAACATATAATAAACATCTTATATAATTTAATATAATTTTATCTTTTAATATAATTTAAAGCCTACTAAGATAAAGTTGTCCACTGATTTCAGTGGCACTTGCATCAAACCTCTACAGTGAAGCTTTTGAGTAAAGAACAGTCAACATAAAATTTGAAATCTTAACAAAAACTGCTGCTATCAAGCTTGAACAAAAGCCTTTAATTAAACAGTGTGGAATAAAACTATGCCTTAGGGATTCATTACTCTGTGTGTGTGGCTAGTGTCTTCACTGTAAGCTCTATAATTTGATATTTTAACTTCTACATTAAATCAGTATAAATCCACATATGGAACAAAAGCACAGCAACTGACAGATGCAAGGCTTTGTTCTCCTTACTTCTTTTGAACAGTAACAGTCATTCACACTGGAAAAGAAGAACATTTAATAAAAACCAAGAGAAATTATTTCATTCCTATTACCACAGGTCCATAAAAAAAAGCACTAGCTTCTAAGAATCCGCTGTTCAAACACGGGGTGAACATCTTGCTTCAGCAATCAGCACTTTTGCTTTTGAGCAACAATAAATCTATTTCATTATTTTTGCTTTTGTTTCTGATTACTTGCATTATACAGCAAAGTTCTTGGTAGCTTTTCAACCAGAGACTGTCAAATCTGAACACATATTTTTAGTAACTACTACGGTCTTATTGTTTTCAGACTTTGACATTCTTTAACACATACAAATGGTCAACTATTTAGAATTTATAATATTTAACTCTAATTACTAAACTATAGCTGTGTGTTCACAAGTTTATTCCTTCCCATTAACTTAAGAAGCTACGTTTCTTCTGAAATTACTTATGATCTGTCTTTCAACTGACTTTTGCAAAGTTCTATACAGGTGCTAGCAATGATGCAATATCTGATATTCTGGCAACAAAGAGACAGCAGTTCTTTTGTTTCTCCTTTTAACTACTGGATTTGAAACAACTAAGCAGAAGTTGATCACATTTTTGTAAAATCTGAGCAAAAAACCAACTGAACTGAGTAGTTTTCGTTCAATAAAGTCCTTGAAAGGCCACTAGGGATATAAATTAGGAGACAAAGTGTAATCAGAAGCTACAATACAACCAGCAAAATCACTATTACACCATGATGATGTATAAGATAATCTTGACACTATAAGCATCAAATGAAGTTTAATAAACTGACGATAAGAACAAGAAGCGAACAATATAATTTCTGACGATCACGTTTCAAAACAGATGGTCACGTTCCTTCTGTTGTATCATATTACTTCTGCCCAAGTAACTTTATACCTTTATCACACTCCCTTTCTCTCCCCATTTATGCACTCACATAAAAACTACAGTTTTTAGGTAACATGGATTCAATAAACTAAAAAAGAGCTGGCTTGAAAACCAGGTATGACAGACAAACGTTGCTTTCTGTATTACTCACTACATTCCTAGTTTTCTCAGATTTTGGTTTCTTACATCCTCCCACACTGTTTCTATTCAACTAACATCTGCTGCTAAAAAAGAAATTTAAGAATGGGTCCAGGCATGTTTTACTTAACATAATAAAATTTCCTACCATTATGAAATACTAAATCACAAGATCAAAAGCACAAAGAAACTATTTTGGAAAAACTGTCTTTTACCTTTAACACAGAGGTCATGAACACTGACATCCCCATCAGCACAAAAATCATCAATCCTGTCACTCGCTGCTCCCGGATTCCCAAAAACTTTGGTTGTTCTCCTGGTGCTGAGCATTGAGATTCAACTTTCAGGCTGTTAACGTGACTTATAGACAGGACAGTTGCAGCAACAAACCACGGTAAACCCATGAGAGAACATATCCCCAACATAACACCAACCATCAGCAGATCAAGATGATAACCACAGCCTTTCTGTAAAATTAAGCAAACAAATAACTTGATAAACTTTCTATTTATATGATACCAAATCTCCAACTCAGCTGGTAAATAATCTGTAACTATAAAAGTTACACACTTTGAGAGGATCCACAAAATTGTATTTGTTTTTTTATTAGTCAAACATATATTTAGTAGTTGTTGTTAAATGTTCCACAAATTTGCAGAATTAATCTGATTTAAAATAAACTTGACTTATGCAACACTAGCCTTTCAGAAAAATGACTTTTACCTTCAGTTTATGCTCTTTCCTGTTTATAATAACAGCTGTTATTTGTTGATCCATGAAAATGAGAATAGTACAGAGTAAAGCAGGAACAGCAGCAACTAAGAGTGTCCACCAAGGGTTGCTTCCCAGAGGATCTATGAACCATCCTCGGTCTTTTCGGGTGGGCTGTAAAAAACCCCCCAAAACAGTAAGAATTAAATTACTAAAATAGAATGCAGATTTTATTGCTGCAAACAACTTCAGTGAACAATAGATCAGTTTCTTAAATATTCATTCAGATTTTTTTCCAATGGCTTTGATCAAAAGACTGATTTAGCTGTTACAAGTGAGCATGACATTTATATGGAAAAAATTAAAACAAATCCATTCAATCCCTCATATTTGTACATTTGAACAAAAGAATGCTTCTTTTTCAGTTATAATATAAAGCAGTCTCTTCTGTCAGGTGAGACATACATCCAAAAAAAGAAAAGAGATACTACTTGATCAACTACATTGTAAGCAAAAAAGAGACACTTCTGTTTCTATACAACTCTATTGTTTTATTGACCATAAAACCGCAAGCATTTTCAAAAGGTTTTATTTCTTACTTCAAATTTCTCTGGAACAAGGAGCTTAGGAGAAGGTATTCCTACAAAATAGTCAATCAAAACCATGATTACTATGGTCAGAAATACTGCAAAGTCACTGATGGTAGAACGCACCTATAAAGGAAAGACTTGTGTTAAGTCTTGCTTTTTCATCATTACAGTTTGCATGTACAGAAAGACAATTTTTCCCCTATGAAAAATGAAGTCTGTCTATATTATACTGAACATTACATATGTTACAAATATTTTCTCTATTTTTTTTTTCATACTAAGCCACTTGCCGGCAAATGAAGCTGCATAAGACAAACATTCTGTACATCCAATTACCTTATAATTCTGTTCATCTGATTACCTCATTTAAAAGTGGTCTACTGCAGGAGGCAAATTACTTAAAATAACTCCCTCATCATCTCCCTGTCCCCTCAACCCTACTAGGACACTGAGCCATCAGAGCTAGTCTCTTGTAGCTTAAGTCAGTAACATTACTAAAGAGTTCTGAAATCAACACACATTTGATGTTTGAATCGAGAGGAGGCAGATAATTTGCAATATATTCAGATTATTATTATTTAATTTTATTAAACATAAGGAACACATTGCAGGGGTAGGCTAAGATTTATAGAAGATCTAACCACTTCATTCTGCCTACAAGAAAATGGGTAAATCGGTCCAAGGATCATCATCATATTAGCTTCTATTAGAAAAAGCAATCCCCTAGGAACCACTCAGAACTCTACATACATCAGTAGTCTGGGGAAAGCAATCGTTTTGTATGGATAAGGGAGGAAAACAGTAGTATTATTATCTCTCCAAATGATATCTGGCAATCCCCATTAATACGGGGGAGATGGACTGCTAAGCTCTTTCAATGTTGTTACAACTATACCAAAGTACAGCGTAAGAACTGAATTTTCTACAGCCAATACCTTTCCTCTAATGTCTTCACTTTTGCAATTATTAGCTAATTTTTGGGGTTTAATTTCTTTTTCTGTCCTAAAATAAGTATCTCAATAAAAATTTCAATTTAAGTTATATTAAGGTATTTATCACAAGATAACAGAACTAATCACAATTACCTTAGTTGGGAAATAGCGTTTAGTCTTGAATTTCTTAAGGAAAGAGGAGAGGAAAAATGTTGTAAAGAATAGTATGACAGACCAGAAGAGAACATCTGGAATATATGGTCCATGATGGCCACAAGCTGATCCACGAAACACACCATGAAATTTTAAACATTCCTGCAAAGAGAAAACTCTTTAAATGTTTATGTTTTATTCATTTAGTATATTTAATCAAGCTTGCAACTTTTCTATACAAAACACATTTGAGAACAATCCCCAAAAATGGGGTTCTTTCCTTTATCATTACCTACCCTGAAATGCCAAAAATGTGTGCTGTCTGTTCTAGAAAAGCCACAGTAGCTACCACTGATTATTTCAGGATGGCAAAATGCTGGGAGATGCCCAAGAAGAAACAATTTCTTTATATTCACATAATTTCTATTTTGTTTTTCAAAGCATTGCAAGATAGAATGTATATAAAATAAAGACCAAGGAAAAGCAGAAGATCCAACATCAACTTTCAAGCTAACGGACATAAAAAAACCATCTCCTCAGTTTCTACCACCTCTTTACTGATGATCTGATTTTGTTCTGATACAGTTAAGGAAAACAAACAGACTTTGTAAGATAAGAATAATCCAACCATAAGCAAGAAGTTTCTAGCAAAGCAGAAATGCATGGTAAATAATGGATTTGAATAAAAAAAGAAAAGCAGGTCAGATGATCCCTATCCAAAAGGTTTATTGAAATGCAAAGCAAAAAGTTAAAGAAGACACATGGAGGTACAAGGAATCAACAAGCCAATAAATCAAATAGTTGGAAGCAGCACTGCCCCAGCCTAGTCTTAAAACAGAGTAATTTATTGAAAATGTAACTTATGACAAAAATTCTTCCTGTTAACAACCTAGTTTGATTATAAGCACCACCAAATCCTGGATCAGTTCCATCTCTCAGGTAAGACTAAAGATGATTTAGAGGATGAAAAGGCATATAAAATAGATAATAAATGTAAAGTAAATATAAAAACTAAGTCCAGGAGAAACTATTATTCCAAGTGATTATGATAAACTAGAAGCCATTGGGGGTACTAAAGCCCAAGTAAAGCACTGAGGTTTTGGCATAGTACTTTTGCTGTGGAAAGCACCTACTTTCAGTGAATGTCTAGGCTTAGACACAATGAGAGCCCATATACAGATTGCTGCTGCTGCTTTAGTAGCCTCAGATGGCTAAAGTGGGCGCACAGAGCTAGCAGATGCAACAAAATTTATAGCAGATCCAAATCACTGAAGATTTAGGTGGAAACAAGATGCCAGGGTACACAAAGTGGCTATTTACAGCTGCATTTAGTCCACTGCACACCACCAAAGGAACTACTAATCAGCAAAAGTGTTTCTCCCTAAAGCCTCCCAGAGCATTTCCACATGGTAACTTCACCTACTCACAAAATCAGATACTGGTATAAAATGTCCACTTCAGAAGACAATGCTTTCAAGACTGTTACAAATAGTTATTTTCAATTTCAAATAATTATTTTCTTCCAATCAATATTTAGGTAGTTCCTTTGATTCTCTTGTAGCTATACCAATGTCCAACAAACTAATCAAACATGTTTGCTACCACATTTTTTACAGCAGATTCCATCTTCACATCATCTTAAAAATATTTGTTCATCTTTTCCAGGAAATGGAAGAAACAAAGTTCCTGATTATTCACCTCATCACATTCACCTGCACTGCAGAAAAACAACTGTGCTGCCTACCAGTGGCTACCTAAAACAGACTATTTTAGCATTACTATTAGCATTTACTAAAATATTAGTATTTATTGTTGTTCATCAAAACCTCTACAATGACTGTTTAAAGCCTTATGAAAGGAATGAGAGGGTTCAAAAATACAGTTTTAAGGAAAACAATCCAGGTTCAAATAAAACCTTCAAAGAAATCAGATGAAAAAATATTAATCAAACTGGTACTGTGCAGATATTTTTTTATACATACATACACACAGATATATATATATATAGATCTCAGATACTCACAGAAACTGTAAGGTTGCTCCATGCTATATCTTCCCGAGACTTATTCATACTCCTCCACACACGCAATGTTTCATTGCTTGGTTTCTCAGGCTCAGAACACACACATCTGAAAGGAAGAAAAAAAAAATCAGTTTTCCTGCTTTTAAGCTGTATGTGCAAAAATGATGCAATTTGCAGTAAATTCAAAAGTCCTGAAGAGTTTAAGCCAGAGTTTATCCCAACCTTCTATGAAAGAAGGAGAGTACAAGGCTTCTCCTTCCATCATGTGAACTACTGGCATGGTGGGGGAAAGAAAGAATCAAAGAGGAGGTTTAACAAACAGTACAAAAAAACACCCCAAAACTATGTATTTTAAAGAATGAGAAGCAGGTAAGATATTGATTTAACTATGTGACTGATTTGCCAGTTTTTAAAAATAAAAGCACCTGAAAACAAAATGATATACAAAACATATATGGACTTCTACATATTGTAACAGATGAAGATAAAAATCCAAAAGACTCCACTTTCTAACAACGCTATACTAACAAATATTGTGTTATTTTTAAATAATTCAACAAACTTGGCACAAATAGTTTTCTATGACTGTGTATCAATGAAGGTTTTTAGACTTCTATACAGCGTAACATCCCACAGTGAGTGAAAATTCAATTATTCTTCATACTAATGTAAGAGGAAACAGAGATACTGAAACCATTTAATTTTAAAAACTGGTGTAGATGACTACATTTCAACAACTCCTTTAACTCCTTTTCAAACCAGACTGTGCCCTTAACCTCTTGAATTTTCTTTTGTCTGTTCTTAAGTTCTGGTAGTTAGCCATTTATCTTGTATTTGCACACTTTCTGACCTATACATGACCAAAACCAGTCACCCTAAGTATTTTTGAGTACGTAGTGAGCTAACCGAAGATATAAATGCGTACATTGCTTGGATTTAAAGCAATTGTACACAAGCTTTTTTTAGTGACGTTTTTGTATGAGTAAAAGTGTCCCTCCCTACATGCAGTGTTTTGCAAACTTGGAACAGAAACCTTTCTGTCAGACAGGTTGACAGAAGTACACATCAAATAAAAAGTAATTTAAAAACTAAACCAAAACACATATTTGATGTAATGGGATGTTTTCAAATTAAATTGAAGTACACCAAATGGTAAGCTTAACAGGTAAACATTTATGTAGAACAAGAGAAACAGGTAATAAGCAAGAAGTGAGTCTCCTTTTCTATGAGATTCACCAAGACACTAAAAAAACCCCAAAGAATCATGGAAGAGCAAATTTGCATTTGATGGTGTGAAAGTAAACAAGGAAAAAAACACTAAATGTGCATAGGCAAAAAGAACCTATATTTGCAAAGCACAATGTTTTGGGAACTTAAAAAATAGTAAGTAAACGTATTTTGTTAACTGAATCCTAGAGTAACAGCAAAAGGAAATAGGAGAGGACTGAAAAGCAGTAATTCATACAAGGTAGTTGCAAACACAGAATCATCAGGCAAGAAAGGAATTGCAACCATAAGTACAGTGAGAAAAAAAGAAAGCATATTTAATTGTTGGTCAAGGCAGTAACATAAACAAGGATGCTGAAAGAGAAGACTGACAAAAATTTCTCAACAAATGTTATGAAGATAAAGGATGCCATCAAGTAGATAAGTGGAAATCCAGAAAGAGTAAGTTTAAAAAAAAAAAACAAAAACAAAAAACCACACCAGAAAATGTAAGAGTATTGAGATTGCCTTGTGGCTCACTTAGATAAAATAAGTATGCATGTTCTGCACACTCTTCACCATTGGGGGTACAGAGGGCAAAAAAAGAAAAGAGACAAAAAGCAATTGTTAAAGGCTGGATCTCCTACAGCTTTGTGATAGAAAAAAATACAGGACAAATCAAAGCTGAACACTGTGGCACATCCTAAAAGACATGTGATACCTCACAGAGATAAACCAAAGAAAAATCACACCTTCTCTCCACCCTCATGGCCTACCTGTGGCAAAACACAATCAGGTTGCGAGGGCCAGAAGACCTACAGAGCAGTTTCTGCCTTATTAGTGAATTTAACATGCTCATATAGGAGTCCAGTGAGGCCCCAGAGCCATTTAAACAGAGGGATGATCAGCCAGTAAATAAAGGGAAATTGGGAAGTGAAGGTACTCCCATGGCCCACTCCTGGCAACAGGACCTGGTCTTAAAAGCTGTTAAGACAAGAAAGTGAGTGCAAATGTCATGTGTGAACAGAATACAAGAAGCAGTCTGAGAGGTTGTTTGCCTTTTCATCCTGAAAAAAAGTACCAAAGAAGCATCAATGTTTGTTAAAAGTGAGAAGAGATCTTGGAGTAGAAACAAAATAGTCAAAACCCTGCCAGGAGTCACTCTGTGTGCAAGATGAGCTCTGCCTCGGCCAGGCAGAGCAGCTGCCCAGGGGGATGGTGAGTACTCTGCTCCCCAACTAGGGAGTGACTGCCCAGTGCAACAAGCAGGAACTTCCACCTCAGGTGTATGGACATGACCTCGCTGGGGGCTCCCTCACCACCACTGCGACCACACAGGTGCAACTAAAACTGGAGGATGCACATGTCCATCAGGAGGGGGGGATTAGCAGAGAAACTGTACTCCTCAAAGATGGTATGCGAGACTGTAATCCACATGTTTGGGGCAAGAGGGTGAATATTGGTGTGGGCGCAATTAGAACTTTTGGGGATTAGTAACAGAAGACAATTTAAAAAAGTGTAGGTTCTTACTAGTATTTATGAAGTGTCACACATTGTGGTTTATCTGCTGTATTACTGATACTGAACTTGAATGTATGGATCACTGATAAACAGTTAATTTTGTGTTGCTGATGAATCAAAGAACAGCTTCACTTTTGATTTCATTTAAGCTATGTGAAATGAGCAGCTTCTCTCAGCAACAGTGAGCAAAATCTCCTTCTGGCAGGTGTGAGCTGGTAATCCAACTCCTCCTCTTTCATGAAACTATATTATAAGCTTTGATTTCTAGAAGTAGCAAGGCAGAACTCCTGTTCTGACCTTTAGTAAAGCTGCTGTTAAAGCAGGCTTTGTCACAGCCCCTCACCCCTTCCAACTACCCATAGCTAATGCAGAAAATTCAATTCCGCTGCACCCTGAATAGAATTTTTCTGAGGTTTCTCATGCCCATACCACCCCCAGCATTCCTCCTATCCTTCCTGGAAGAGGCACCCATTGCTATTTAGTACATGGTATGTCTCTATATTTTCCTATTTATTTCACTAACAGATAGAAACTTGGTACTTACGAATATAAAGTCAGTTTATTCAAGTCATTGTGCATATTGAAGGCATATACTTCTCCCAAATGAAAAAGCTTTTCCAACGCCTCATAAATAAATATGATGCATATAAGGGCTGCAAAAGCTTCCTCAGTAAATCGAGTGATGTAGCACACAAGGCTGCTGGCATCAGTGGCTACAAGCACAATGCATAGAAATGCAGTCCACAGACCAATGCTAGTTCGCAGGGAGAGGTAGGAAAGATCGTAATCCCTGTGTGAACAAAGAAACAAAAAGTATTAACTGAGTCAAAAATCATGAATACTATATTCTACTGGAAAACAGATACTGAAGCCAAGTTTAAGAGGTATTCATCACTTTTCTCATCCTTGATGTTAGCTCTGAAGGAAGCAGAAACTTCTTTTGTCTCATCTTCCACCAAAGCAAAGCAACATGTAAAGGTGCTTCTAGGATTGACAGTGCAACTACCTAGCTTGGGAAGCATCACAGGGATGACCTCTCCAGAACAGTTTCTCCTAGACTGATCTGCTGATCAATCCTTGCTTACCCCTGCAGAACCAAAACCAACACGTCCATACAGCCAGAATATAACTTTAAGTCCTAGATTATCACTGACTTTCTCATTTAGCTTCATCAGTGCCTCACAGCTTTCCCAAACTATATAAATTTCTCAGTCTCTTGCCACTGCATTTATCATCATGGACATACACACATTTAATGCACATGTGTTTTCAATTACAGCTATTCTAACAGGCTAGAAAGTTAAAAAGTGCATCAGGCTAATACAAATATTACTTACCTGCAAAATTTAAATAATATTTTTTCAAATACTAGAACTGGTCCGGTGCTTCCCAAGATAGTAAGAGGTTGCCCAGCAAAGAGAGAATAGGCAATCCCAGTTAATGAGGCTCCAAAGAGAGACTCTATTGCACTCTGTTAGGGGGAAAAGAAACTGCTGTAACTATGCTGCCTTTCAGGTTAACGTTTAGCATCACATCTGCATAAATACAGCCTTACGATGCATTAACTTAGAAACAAGACAAGATGTAAAAACATTGCAATTAATATTGATGTTTGAGACAAGAATAACTTAACACAGTTTTGCAGTAACAATACCATGGACAAAAGATTTTGAAAGCTTCACTCCTGAGAAACATAAAGCCATCCAACTAGAACAAGTTACTACTCCTGCTAGCTATGGAGGAAAAGCATACCAACAATTATATATATTTAAAACATTTAAAAAAAAAAAAAAAAAGAAAGAAAGCAAATAGTTACTGAACATGTAGTTTATGGGAAGAATTATCTGTCTCTGTAAAAAAAAATGATATATGTATATATATATATTGCAACATACCTGTGCCAAAACATGATACGGCCTGCCGTATCAAACCTGCATCAGTCAACCAAGCATTACAAAGGAAAAAACAAACTGACAGGCGGAGGTGCAGGGGAAATTACTGAACAATACTGGTTTATGTATACATGACACCAAAAATAGATGAGCAGTAAACCAATGTCCCACCTGGTAATGCATTTCTTTCACTGAATTAAGATAACTACTTCAGTTCTTGAATTAAATGTTTTACTATAACGTTATCTGCTAAAAAAAAAACCCAGTTAAGAATGCACCTCAAAAGAGAGGGGCAGGAATTTTAAATACTAAAATTATACTAAATTTCATTTTGAAAATACTTAACTACACCACCTACCACTATAAGGAGTCATGGATTACAGGTTCCTGTAATGGAATTACAGGATTCCTGATGAAATTTTTAAGCGTTTGCTATTACACAATTATGCAAGCCTAGGAAAGCAGTATCTATGCAATCTTGAGTTCCAATTCAGGAAAGCATCTGAAAACGGTCAAAATGGTTTGCTGAACTGGGGTTATTAAAAAAGAAAATGAGTCCTTTGTTCATTATACTAGAGAAAAAGATATAATCCCAATCTCTTGTTCTATTACCTTTGAATTAGTGCTTTTGATTAGTCAATGCATTAACCTTGGGGCTCTCAGTCAGGGCGGTAGGGAGAGGAGTACTGTGGACGTGATGACCTCTTAGAATGTGAGGGAAGGTTTCAAAGACAAACTGTGTACCTTACAGTATCAGCTACTGTGCTTGAACATGTGTGTGCAGTAACTAAATGTTTTATTCAATGATGCACACCAAGTATCTGAAGGCAGGAACAAACCCGCAAACAATTCCAGATAGCTAAAAGAAAGAAGGTGTTTAAGAATCAAGCTTTAAAAGGTGTATATTTTCATAATTATACATGTTGTAAATTCAAAATTTACACTGACATTTTGATAATAATTCCTACATTTACAGTGGTGATACCAGTACGCAGAAAAGATACAATTTATTTCTGTATTTTCTATCAGCTTGAAGTACTACATCAATTAACAAAACTTTGAGTCAACAGACATACTTGAAACAGATAGAAGAGTTAACGAAATTTCAATACAATACAAGCTTTAAAACTTCATCCAAGTATCAAGAAGAATTTTATATCAGTAAAAGCTTTACCAGAATCTTAAAATTTGTAAAGGACATGTCTGAATACGTGCTTCCCTCCCCTGAAAGGACAAAGCCTTGTTTCTTTGTGATACATTTAAAAACAGAAAATACACTTCAAACTAGTTTACTCATAAGCCAATTGACACTAAGTTATTAACATTGCTGATATTAAGTAATTTTTCCCTGCTCCAAAAACTCAAAAAGTACAATGATATTCTGGTGAAAAAGGTGCTGGTATTGTGCTACACTACCAAAATTTTGTAAGGACATGATTTATATTCAAGTCATTTACAATGAAGAGTATTTTCTGCTCATAAACCTTGGACACATGATTTTATTGTGACCAACATACCTTTAGTGCAAGCACATACATATCCTGTCCGTTACATAAACACACAACGGACTGCTCGCCATACACCGCAGGATTATCATCCTCATAGGCCTACTACTCAAGGCCAGTACACGTTCTTGGCTATCCACCTTGAGCCTCTGACTTTGCCTAAAGTAGGCCTAGTGGGATGGTGCGCCTTTACTGCTATTTATTACTTTCAAGTAGTCAAAAAGAAGGCAATGCAAGCCTTTTCTCAATTCATGAAGCCATTCATCCAATAAGGCAGGATAAACATTTTTTACCTCCACTGTGCATCTTCTCCTGTTCACATGGGTTCCCCACATTTTCCACAGCAATTACCTTTTGGGGAAGATCTGCTTTGGGGCAGGCTAATCAAGTGCTGTGGGTAAATTCTTCAAATACAAGTATAAATAAATGAGACAAATGCACACAGTGACTTGCCTCTGAAGGTCTAAAAGCCTGGCCACTACCATTCTTTGTACTCACTATTCTGCCTTGTGTAGCTTCTCCCAGGAGCCCTCCAAAAGTGATTACAGGAGACATACAGGCACAGTATAGGAAAAGAATCGAGGCCAGGCACTGCAGGCTTAATGCATCCTTGAAGTCACTCAAGAAAAAAGGTGCTTTCCTTTGGATGTCAAGTATCAAACCACCAAAAAGCCTAAATAGGTGAGATGAAACTCGTCAAACTGTACACTAAAGGATTCTAGCTAGTTCAAAACTATGGGCTACACATCACTGCCAGTGCCTATTGCTGGCACAAATTAGCTATTTCATAACCCAGATTAAATCATAACAGTTAAAAACATAAATGAGAATATTATCTATTCCAATTAAGCAGTATTTCAAATATAATCAAGTAGGTTAGCTGCATTTTTTAAAGCTGGCTAGGTATTGTTGTATATGGGCTAGATACTAAAAAAATAACTTTGCAAACCATTTTACCTAAATGATGTTTAAAGGCAAATCTGTTTTATGATATTCAAAACAAGGAACAGAAGAAATATGCTTCACATCAACCAAGACCACTTCATTGATACATTTCAATGCTACTACTCCAAGTAGTAATTTTGAAATACTACTTGTTGGAGTAGTGATTTGAATTCCCTACACACATATGATTAGGTCCATAAATAAATGTAGGTCAATGTTTGCATCTGGAGTATACAGATATTCTATAAATGTAAATACAAACCCAAACATACATAAGTTAGTTCACCCAGATAAGTTAAGGTATTAAAAAGATTTGGCAATTTAAAAAAAACTTTAAAACTCCAAAATACTAGGTATTAATCTGCACTTACAAAAATTTATTTTAATTATTAACAAAAAAACCCAAACATTCCTAAGAAAAAGAACAGCTTCATCTGTGGGCAGAAATGAACTTCTCAGCTCCACATAGTGTCTACAAAGAGGCAAAAAGTAATTATAACAAACCACAATGGTAAAAATCAACACAAATGTTGTAATGCCTTTCTCTCAAATGTATGAGAAAGATGCATTTCATTTGGAAGTTTATTTTTCTGGGGAAAATAACACTGTACGTATGTTCCAGAATTTCTCAGTTGATTTAATCCTTACTCTCATTTGAGATATTAAAGTTTAATCTTAACTAGGTATTTCCGAAGTTGGGGACTTCTTTGGAAAGTATTTCAGAATTAACAGGGAACAACAACTGAAAGCAATTCCTTAAATTTTATTTTAGGTCTAAAAGAAACCTGACCAAAACCCAAAGCTAACCAATACCAAAGTACTTTTTGCCACTTTATGTTTCTTGTTGTTCCATTTAATACATGTTAAATAAAACAAATTTGCATTAATGGAAATTTTTAGTACCTAGCCCAATACTTAAAATTGCATATTCCTGCAGTAATTATGATAATTGCATGCTCTTGAAGATTAAAAATTAAAACCCAACTCTTAGAAGTCAGTTAGTTAAATTAGGCAGCATCTTATGTGAAATCCTTCGCAAATGTGTTGAGAAACATTGCCATAGGCTTGAAAATACTTCAGCAGATTGGCATTTATAGGCAAGAATCCAACACTTGAAAAGGACAAAGGATACACTCTGACACTTATAGCATGATTTTTTTATGTTCAAATGTCAATCATTAAGATGAAAATTTATCACTTTTATTTCTTTATGGTAGCTAGCATTTAGGGAAGTGAACACACCTTCCAGTTCTCTGAAGCTCAGGTCCAGCATGATGGCCTTCTTCTTTGAGAGTCTCTCCTATAGGAGTAGATCCATTTGGAAATTTAGGTGCCTTCCTTTTCTCCTACAGAAAAGGCAGGGGAAAAAAAAGAAAAGAGATTCTTTGAGACTAAAAAGTATAGTTAAAAGACAGCACGCAGAGACACTATGCCTTCCAAACCTTTTTTGATATTCTCAGATTATCAGCAGTCCTCCACTTGCCAACTTCATCTTTTGTTGAGTACAGACAACTAGAACTGTAGAACACTCCCCAAAAGATCTTACTAGTACACCTTGCACAACAGTATTAAATCTTCCCTCTTTCTGGGAGAAATAGTTTCCTGAAACATGATAAAACAAAGCCTAGCTTTCAAGACACAGTAGAGGCTCAACCATGAGGCCCACAAATATTGAGATACTTTTTCTCAGCTATTTCCAGAGCAGAAACCTCTAGTAGAAACTGACCTCACTTTATGACACACACAGTTTTTAACTGAAGCATAAATGAGAACTCACTCCCCTGCCCAGCAGGCTGCTCACCAACTTTCTTCCAAAAACCCTGAGCCCCGCTTATTTTGGAATAAAGTTACATGGTAGCCTCATAGGCAATTCATGAATAAACTGCACTGCTGCACTTTCACCCTCTTCTATTCCAGCTGCTCCACCAAACCACCAGTGGACTCAACCTTCTGCACCAAGAGCACTGGTCTCTCCCTTGCTTTTGATCCTGTCAGCCCAAATTCCCCTAACCTGTAAAGAGGGAGAAGAAGATAGAGTCTGCCTGAGGACTCACTTTTCCTGGCTCTCATTCTAAGCCTGTATCATCACGACTGTGTGCTATGATCAGTTTTTATCTATTTCATAAATATTCTGTGAACCCTTTATGATAGACAAAATACATTAAGGCATTTCAATCAAAGCTGCATGCAAACAGTTTTTATAAGAAAAAAATATTCTTGCCAATCACTGCTGGACTGGTAGCAAAATTTATAATATGAACTCAGGTACAATTTCTGACCAATTCTCCTAGTTCTCACATGAACTCACCCCAGTACATCAGAAGGAAATATAGTAAATAAAATTTAATTAACAGCATAGCAGCAAACTTAAATTGACAACCCACTTTTTCTTGCAAAATGGATGGAGGGACTTTCCTGATGGTTTTCAGCCAACTGGGTATCAGCCAACAGTGTGCCCAGGTGGCCAGAATGGCCAATGACATCTTTGCCTGTATCAAGAACAGTGTGGTCAGCAGGACTAGAGCAGTGCTTGTCCCTCTGTACTTGGCAGCTCAAATCCTGTGTTCAGTTTTGGCCCCCTCACTACAAGAAAGACTGGGCTTTTTTTTTTCTTTTACCTGGGAAGGAACACTTTTTGGCGGCTCAATTCGTATAGATGGATCCCACTCTCCTGGAGGCAGGACTGTCACTTGGTCTAAAAATTCATCAATTCCGGACAACAAATCATTGCGGTCTTTTGCTTTATAGGCAACATCATGGAAAACCTACAAGAAGAAAGTACTCAACATTCATTTTTATTTTATTTTTCTGAAAGAGTAACTGATTATCATTATATAATGATTACACGTCATTATTTTTGAAAAGGCCTGGAAAATATAGGCCCTGAAAAATTAGGCTTTTGCTTTCCTTGCATACTTTTGCATTAAAAGCTACCTGTATGCACATTCCTATGGACCATAAAATGAAGCAGTTTTATCTTCAGACTCAGAAGGAATACTGAGTTCATTTTTAAAATTAAATAAAAAGTTAATCTTCAATTTTTAGGATATCAAATTCACATACTATTGCCTGAATAATTCTGCCCTACAGCCACTGTACCACTGTGCTGTGCCAAATCAGGACAGAAAATACTTCAAATAAGCTTCAAACTAAAACATAAGTTTTTATTAAGAATAAGAACTTCACTTGTATACATCTAGTTTAATTAAGTTTAATAGACTACTTAAAAAGCACATGAAAACAATCCTCCAACTATTCAAAAAAACCACTGCACTGTTTTACAGATGACAACAGAAAACTCTGAATTGACAAACAGGCAGTATAAAATAAAAAAACAGTCTCTGCATCCCAAGATGTATTTTATACACAGAGAGAAGAGAATATGCTAATTTTGCTATTAAAAAACTGTCTGCAGAAGATGATCCTAAATTGCTTCTGTACACTTGAAACCAGAACTGTTTGTCTCTAACTACCTGAACATTAAATCATCTGTTCTCAAATTAGATCTTGTAAGTCTATTTAGGTCTTTTTAGACAACCAAATAATTCATATTTTTTTCTATTTCAGTGATCTACAGCATTCCTAAAAATCAGATCAGCCTACCTAAAAAATCAGAACCTGCAACTAAAGCTTTCAATATTCAGTTCTCACACTGAACAAATACTGTATTCACAGGCTGGTTACTCAGCTGCAAAGTGACAAGTTTTTCTTTTACATTACCAAACTTCAAATTGTTCTAGAGTAAAAGGTACCTGAATTTCTGCTAGATAACCCTAAAAATTATCAGCAATTCAGTAGGGGGCGCTCAATGTGAAGCCAAAATTAAAGCATCCTAATTCTGCTCAGTAAGACGGTAACAATCTTAAAAAGTTCCAATTCCCCTGTGGCCTTTAAAACCAATAGGGCTCTAAATATATGACTTCAAATGGCTAGAAAAGTTCTAATTTTAAATATTTGACCTTGCTTAGATAAAAACATACCTGTGATGACTCCACTGCATACATTCTTAAAACTTTCTGTCCTGAACACTTACACAGTTCGTTGCATCCTTTTTGACATACAGTGATTCATATCAAAAACAGTTCTATCTAGTCTTTCTGTTAACCAATTTAATACAAAAATGCAATCTGTACACCAAAGCCAAAATAACTTTTTCAGAAATACATTTAGGATTTCTTCAAGACAGACAAAGGGGAAAGTTAATCTACCATTATCTACTTCACCAACATAAGAAATAATTAACCGTTATTCATTTAACCATTTTGAGGGGAATTTTTCTTTAAACTATCACTCCAAAATCATTTATTGAAATCAGGTGGTAAATACACTATTCTAGACTTTACCTACAAGCATTTAAAATACATCACTCACATCATCTGTCATAAGTGTTGCTATTGATCTTCCAATTTCATGGTACTGTGGAGCTTTTCCAACTGGTCCCAGCAATAAAAACAAAAACCTGTGGAGAAAGCAATAGGGATGAATATGGCTGACTCATCTTGCATTACCTTTCAAACTAATGTTTAAGGAAAATTTAGTGGTGAAAGAAAAATACCATTTTCACCATTTCAGATCTTAAAAGACTGCTGCAACACTTAAAAAACTCATCTCAAAGACATTATAGGAAGGAATTCAAATCTGAACCAAAATTATTCCAAAAATCTTCTTAAGTAAGCCTAACACATATGTTAAGAGGCAGTCTCCATTTCCAACCCCAGTAAGTTACTGCAATTATTTTTTTATTAAAAACCAAAACAAACAAAAAACTCCACCAAAACCTTGAAGACAAATAGCATCTTATGAATTCAAAAGGATACAAACCAAAGAGTAAACCTCAATCATTTGTTTCAAGTCCTTCTTCCTATAATCCATGAAAATGAAGTTCCTAAACACGACGCACTTGAAAGAAAGTAGCATCTTCTTTTACCCCACAGTAAAAAAAGCTCAATTCTATGTCTCCTTTGCAAATTTACTCCCCTAACTGAAACTGAGACTGCATCTTCAGGATCCAAGTATGCTATTCCAAATATGGAAGTCTATACCATTCTAAAAACTTAGGAACAGAATAATTTTAGCTACATTACTACAATAATTTGTATGTAGAAATTTTGGAATTTCCCAATAAGCATGAGTACTAATGTCAACTATCCTCTAAAAATTCTTACGTATATTTTTGCCTTTCAAAAGAGTAAGTTGAAAATTACAAAGATAAACACTAAAAAACCCCCACCAAACAACACGAATGTACAAATGCATGCCAAACACCACATAAGCAGCCCAATACACCGACGCGCACAGAAAATCAAGTGTCCTCCATGATGGATGACGAAATCATCTGCTACTTTTATCACGGGACCAGCATTTTGATATTCTGAACATCTGTAGTAAACATACCCACAGCATACTGGCGAGACCCATGATTCTGGGGGAGTAGAGGGGTGGGTGCACCAGGTTGGATGGCACACTGCAGACTGAAAATCACCCCAACGGATTTAGTTGCAGATTGCTTACTCTAGTGTCATGCAGATTTGAATCATAGAATAGAATCATAGAATCAGATGGGTTGGAAAGGACCTCTGAGATCATCAAGTCCAACCCTTGATCGAGCACACGATACAAAAAAAAAAAGGTCTTTCTACCACCTGTGTTATTCATATTCACAGTATTTGTATAGAAAAAGCAGAGATTTAGGTTAGACAGTCTTTCAGACTTAATGGGCTCTTCCCCAGTGACAAGCTGTGTCACACTGAAGGGAATTATAACAATCTTCATTCCCATCTTTAAAATGGCAACACAAGTTTAGAAGACTCATTGCTTTTACTCCAAGTCATGTATCAGTTTCAACTCCTGCACTTGCTTAAAAGAGCATCATAACATATATTTTAAGCATTTAGAGAACTTTATGGCAGAACTCATTCATTCAAATTTTGCAACAAATGACTGGCATAATGTTAAACAAAACTCTACACTTCTTGAGCTTAATACAGTATATATATAAACTTGCAACTACTTGAGATCTTAAATATTACTATCTTATTGCATAAGTAAAGCCAGACTTTACAGGCATTCATTTACCGTGTAGGAACTGGAACCTCTGTGAGACCCGAGAGAAGCACAGCAGGGGAGAGCCTCACAAAAGCAATAATGGGTCTTTCTAAAAAATCTACTTCTCCCACTAACACATTTGATGCTTCTGCTCCTGAAGGAATTTTCCTCATGAAGTTCATATCAACCTATTCATACAAAGATGAAACAAGTGTTTATTCCCTTACATTTTTTAGCAGAAATTTTGTAACATAATTATGTTTATCAGTATTTACTAGACATTTACGCTACAAAGAAATATTAAAAAGCAAATTAAGTATCCCACGGTACAGAAAAGACAAACACATTTAGAAAATGTCAGCCAGCCAGCCAAATAACAATAAACTATTTTCTCTAAGTTAGAATTTCTAAAACCTAGAAGACTCCAAACTGCATAATTACCTTTCTAATATTATAATGACAAACATTCCATGATAGGACATAAATTACAAAATCTATGCACAATTAACTAAAGAGAGTTCATGTAATTACACATGGTTTCTAGAATGCAGTGAGTTATTTCGCAGCTGTGTATTTCAAATGTGTCACAATTTTGAAAAATAATTTGTGTATCTTTTCATCCATAAAGAATATGACAGCTGAAAATCTTCACATCCATTTCTGTACATAATTACAGAAGTGCATCAGAAAGCGGTGCAGGACATGAACTCTGTGTTCACACACACACACACAAGCACCAGTTATATTGTTAGCTAAGGAACTTACAGATGGCCTCTTGAGTCCCACACCAAGTGTGCCACAACTACAGTGCCAGGAGGCAGACTCCTGTTCAACAGGAGACAAGGCAGGTGTACACAAGGACAGGCCAAGTAAAAATATAAAAACTGTGACAGAGGAGCAGGAATATATGGTACCTACCATGATTAGATCAGAACTACACTAGAAATTAGCTCTCCTTATACATAATTATTTAACTTGGCAAATCAATCCTCTTACAGTGTTTCGCAGCACAGGTGACATTACAGACTAAGTTTTATAGTAAAAGCCACAATGGAACTTGCCCAGCAAGTTTAAATTATGAAAGAAAACCAAGGGATTTACAGTACATTTTTTTACAAGGTTTCCTTCAGAAAGTGATACTATATGTTCCTAATGATTAAGATATACAGTAACTTTTGTACAAGAAACTCGTAATACATACAAAGCAAATCCTCTTTAAAAGAAGTCCTCACAAAAAAAAAAAAAAATTCCAAGGGAAAAAAAGTTACAACACAATCTGCAAAATTCTTTTCACATGAGCCTCAACAGCAGATCTGAAAATACCTCCATCTGCATGAGAAAGTACAGCAGCTGCACTCTTACATTACCAAAATACTGAGAAAATCAAACAGTACGTTCCATCCCACTGGGAAGAATTTCAAAACATGTGACATATTTAGCCTAGACCATATTCTGACACTCATATGTACAAGTTATCTCTAAGCGCCTATGTCTTGTACACCGGTACAGGTCTTAGTTGTAACTACGGGGGAAGTTACAACCAGCACATTATTTGTTACATAGTTAATTTGTGCTAAACACGAAGGTATTTAATGTTCCTTACCTTACTAAAATCAACAGTGCTGTTTTCTCTGCTTCCTCCTGTCCCAGTACCTTTAACATCTCCACTTTTCCCAGTGTCTAAGTTTCCAGGTGCTGACTGTGGAGATGCTAATAGCCCTAAATTAAAACAAAGGAAATAAGTTCAAAATGGTGCATGAAGTGAACTGAGTGTGCAACACTACCAAAACTCAATGTGGCAGCTTGCTCAAAGCAAATGTGCACGTTATTCAGTACAAGTGTCCTACATTAGTATCATAAATGCAACATTAACAAGTCACTGTGTTGTCAAAATAATGACATAATTTTAAAAATTAAGTACTGCCCAAATGATGGCCATTTGCAGAACAGTCACCAGAAAACGTGAGCTATTTCAACTGCAGAAAAAATAACTGTTGATGGATTTAAACTGTTGTTGATTTTAATCCTAATTGATATATTAGTTAGTGTATAGCACCTTCACCATACTAAGAAGTCCTTGGACACCAGACACAAACACCTCTGCTATCAAGTCTGCTGTGTAGCAGCTACTGCAATTGTAAAAACCACCAGCAGGCCTCGGGCTACAAATACAAGGAATGATATCCTAACTAAGCTGTACAAGTAAATTGTGTACTACATGACAATTTGCAAACCAACATTTCCATCAAGAGACCAAAGCTCCTACTATTCATCTGACCAGACATTACTATATGGAATACACACTTTAGCTGAAGAGGCATGCACAATGAAGTTATTCAAGTCCAACATACAGCTTCCCTCTAACACCTGCACCAAAACAAAACCATCTTATGTAGCTTGCTACACGCCAGCAGCACTGAACTGTAGGTTCAGTAAAGGGTGCAAAAGTCAATGTAACCCAAGTGTTCATACACACTGTATTCCATGTTGCGTCACGGTTATCCCTATACCCAATTAACATTTAAAAGCTGGTCTAGGCATGCATAACCAAGCCCAAATCCCACCTTTTGGATTACAGAGCTTTTATTTTTTCAGTTTAACATGCACTAGAAGTGCAGTTGGCCTTCTTGCTTGTCTACACCTTTCAGCTGTGGTGACAGAACATGTTTTCACATGCTTTCAAAACCACATCTACACAAAGACTGAAGTCTAAACACTGTATTGCAAGGAGAAAGTTTGTATTTAAATCAAGTGTCACACTAGTCAAGATAAAAAATTAAATCCTCACTGGCTACCTTTGGGCTATTGTTCTATCATAACTACTGCCACATAACTATTTGCATACTTCCATGTTTATAATTTAGCAATTTTGATATTTTTTAGCATTCAAATGACAACTGAATTCACTTCATTTCACCCCCCATATTTGTTTCCAAGAAACTCTCTCAAGAGTCATTTTATCAAGAGAAAACATGCAGGTCCAAGCCTTTACATTAATTTTCATTCTTACAGTTCATAGGGATATGAGTGGTATGAGTAGTTTTTCCTGAAGCAAAAATCAAATGAAATTAATAGGTTGTAATTTCCTTCATAAATCCTAACGTGCACAAGTAATGAGCTAACACTATAAATACTATGTTCAGTTAGCTAGACCAAAAAAAATACCCGCCCAAAAAAATTCTACTTTTCTGCTCCAAGATTTAAGCATTATTCACAAGAATCACAGCATCAACCACAAGTGAAATCAGCTGACCGAAGTATTTAACTGCTTGTAGAACTAGAAATAAATATTAAACAGTTGTAACAGAAAAGCAGCATAATATAGAAGTTTATACATATAAACTTTTTTTACTTTTTCCCCTCTTCCAGTAGTAATACAGGAAACTCAAAATGTTTGTAACTGATGAAAGATGAGCTGTAATGCATCGTTCAGCACTTTTCAGAAATGCACTGAAAGCTAGAGCAAGCAGAGTCTAGAGCAAAAAGGGGACAGAATCAAGGACAGAGAATAAGGATTCTACATATCAGCATAAACACTTATTATTTCAGTACTAAAGTGATACTGATTTTGCTGAAAAGTTGGCCTTCAAAATTTCTCCAACCAGTCAGTCATAGTTGAAGCTCACAAGTTTCAGCACTGACACAGGAATATTTGTCTGATCTTAAACCATATGTAAATAGTTTTTCTTTCTGTTGGCCTTGCAGTTGGACAGACTGCTTCTCTCACAAGACAAAACTGCTCATAGGTTTTCAGACCTGGGCAAGCATTTCCATATGATACTGCATTTCATTATGCGTATCAATCAATCTGATGTTTGCAGGGAAATTCTGAATAAAAGTTTTCTTCTCTAACAGTGAAACACTTCAAATCTCTCACTAATAAAAGGACTTATTTCCTTCTCTTCTCCAATTCAGTAGACACAAACAGGACAACTACCTAGTACTACTTTTCAGACTATGAGACAGAAATTTATCATTACCAAGCTACCCAGGGGATCATTAAAAACACACAGTACTCTTCTGGATGTTCTTTATTAGGCAGATGTACCACCTATCTCCTCCAATAGACAACAGTGGATTGAGTGTTGAGTAATTTGGATTATAACCTCTTAAGATCACTGAAGTCACAGTGTTTATATCTATACCTTCACTAAAGATCATGTGCATTTTCTAGCAATTGTCTCACATCTCTGCTTCGTATAAGAAGCTGAGGAAGATATGAGTTCAACACCTAAGCATGACTGTTCCAATATAATTCCATAGACAAAGATCACAAAATAAAAACCTTTTAAATATGAAGTCACATCATGTTTATATTTGAGGAAATAAGAAGCAATTTTTAAAATCAAATTCCAACGCAACCTTAATGTGAAAAAATGTTGAAATTACTATTAGAAAGCAAGTATGCAAACCTTTCTGAATTACTATTTTCAGTAAGTAATTATTCTAAGAGCAAAGTTGTTCTAAATGTTATTTTGCTCAGTTCTAAAGTACACTTAATCAGTGAACCAAAAGACCTATTTGCTGCTTTGCTATTGTTCACAGACATTAAGAAAGCTCAGCGGAAGTTGGTGAATTAACAGTGTTCATTTTTATCTGTGACATAGTTCTCTTCCTAGCCTTACCAATGCAATTCATTATTCAATAGTTCTTCAACTGATAGTAAAATTAAAAAAAAAAAAAATTAAGAGAACCCTTTATCTGGTTGACTTACTATGAACTCGTAACTGGTTGATGAAAATTAAGCGGTAGACTGAAGTTGTGTCCCTCTTCCCTCCTTTTACAGTAACTCACATTAAGTTCAGTAACCTTCAAGCTATTTATAGTAAAGACTAAAAAATAAAGTCTGAAGAACACAAGGCCAAGGACAGATGAACGCTAAACAGAAGAAAGCCACCTATTAGAAAATTAACACAGTTCCTAATGCTCACAGGAGGCAAACCCAATGTAATCACACAGATGTGGAAAATGTATTCGAATTGCAGTATTATGAATTACTACAGAGGTAACATAGACCATACTCTATAGTAGAATGAAGCAGGAAGATTTTTTTTTTTCATTAACACCAGGAACATTACTTCCTCATCAGGGTTTCCTTCTGATTCAGCTTCCCAAGAAAACGATTAGTCCAGTTGCAGCTTTGAAGTCATAGTCTGAGAATGTCTTCAAAGGCATCTCTAAGGAAAAAGTGTCTTTCTGTGGTCAGATGATTACTTGAATTAAAAAAAGGGGGAAAACCCCAGAAACCAAAAATGTCTTCCATCATCTTTGGTGTTTAACATTCTCTGAAAAGACTTCTACTTATGATTAACTGGAAAACCATCCCTTTCAGATTTTTCCTTTATGAAAAACATTTTCCTTGAGGAACAAAAGCAATTTGAATGTGATTTGGAAATTCTGGTGGAAAGCTTTATTAGAGTTGATAATAATAGCATCAAGTACTTGATCTTCACTTGTTTGTCTTCTCTTGTGTTCTAAAGACCTTGGGTCTGGCACGCTGTCATTCCTGTCAGATAAATGAGAACTGGAAAACCAATTACAGCTGTTACTTTACTTCTGGTTTCTAATTACCTTTGGAAGATGACCCATGAGAGAATAATCTTCACGTGAACGCTCTTAATATCCCGTAAGGAAGTCAGAGAAAGAGGTTTTTGTTTGCTTTTCTGAATTTAAGTAATGACAAGGCCCCTATACTTCATCTGAAGATAACAGTTTATGACACAGTTTGTTCTTTCCTTTTCAGTGACTTGGTTGCCAAATGTGAAAGGCAGAGAACCCCAGCCTTTTCTTCATCAGCATTTTTCGCTGCTATATGTAACAGTGTGTTCTTATTTATTAAACAAGCGAGGAAGAAGCCAAGAAAAGCCTCACTGATGGAAGACCTGTGTGAAATCAGCCCCTATCCCCCCCCGCCCCCCCCACAGGTCTAAAGCAAACAAACCTATACGCTAGGTTTTGCTAAGACAAATTTCTGAGAAGAGGAAGAAAAAAAAGGCAGGAGGAGGTTGAAGGCTGAAAAGAAAGATGATCCCTCCCTCAAAGACATGATCTCCCTAGAAGAATCTTGAAGTCTCTACCTAGGTAATAATTCTGCAAAAGTAAAGCAAGTCTAAGAGTACATATGCAGAATGCATGAGTGATGAAACTTCTACTAAAAACAATTCAAGAAAGGATGGCATGTTCTGACAGTTTCTTTCAACTAATCTATACATCTCTACACCTTTTTACATATAAAGAACAAAGCCTTGCAAGACACAAAAAAATAAAAAAATTACTGAGCTCCAACCTACAAACTCTTAACTACCTTCTCCAATTTTGCATATCAAACACAACAAAACACTAATTGAGTGTCTGATGCTGAAGCAATCCATTAATGGAGAGTTATCTGGAAACAGCTGTAGGTGAATTGTCCCTGAAAATTTCATCATAACTGGTTTTAACAGCCATGGCCTTTAAAACCACAAAAGTAAAAATAAAACTGCTTGAACACTTCATTATACAACTAACTATGAACACCACTGATAATAGCATCCTTCCTAATTCTTTTCATATCATCTCTTAATACTTCACCATGCCTTTAGCTGTACCTTTCTCAGGATAACAAACACTGCTTTAAAATATTAACTCAATTACTGATAAAACTGAAGCAAAATCAGATATGGACTGTAGGTGAGTGAAAGGAAAAGGCCACCATTTTTGACATTTTGCTTATATATTAGATTTTAAAGCCATATTACTTTTTAATTATACAAATGAATGTTAATTAACGAATTTTTTGCTTGCTTTAGTTAAAAGCTAAAAAGTTAAAAATGCCAAACAAGAAAACAGTCACAACTGAGAAGAAATAAACATGCAGGCAGAGGTAATAGTTATCATATTCCTTTGTGCCCAAGTTATGTGCCAAAAACACCGCAATGCAAGTGATCCAGATGCAGAGAGCACCACACATGGACAGCTTAAATTTCAGTAGTTGCCTGGTGTTTTGCCAATATTTTCCTCTGTCTTCTTTTCCTGGCTTTCCTGCAATTCTAAGTCCTCCTTGGGTGGATGGATTACTACTGAGGGAATATCATCACTGGCAGGTGACACCAGCAATTCCTTGCCCTGAAGTGGACTTGGCTGGGCACTTGTGGTTGGCAGGAGACTGCACGTAGGACTGGAGGGTGGTGTGTTTTGAGGGGTAGTTACGGGGGTTGTACACCTTGAAGCTGCCGGGGTTCCAGCTCTTGAAGAAGGAAGAAGGTAATTGAGAAGAACTGACAAACGGCTTTCTCCTCTCAGGGAAATATTTGAGCCAGAGAGACCTGTTCGCAACGAGTGGCGGGAGGCTGAAAGGCCTTCCCCTGAGATAAAACAAATGGAACACCATGAGGCTTACAAAAGGGATATATTAAATTGAAAAAAAAAATAAAACAAAAAACCAAACCCACACAGATACAGATATGCATTAACAATTTACATAGCAAATTGTAAGCTTTACAGGCCAAAGTGTCATACTCATGCAAGTAAGACAAAAGATAAGAGCAAATCTGATTTCAGACATTAGAGAAGTCAGAAATTACTGAAAAGTACTAATTAGAATGCCAAAGATCTGTGGGAGACCTTATTTTTTATCTCTTGAAATTGACTCTTAATTTTTTCTAGAAGAATTTCTTATTCCCAATTGCACAGCAGCTACTGTTAATGCCATCCAAAAAGTACATTGAAAAATCATTAGCAATCAAAACATTAAAATACTTCAGTTAATTCCATGCACTATATACAAAAAAAAAATTATTTTTAAGAAGTGAACATGATCAAACATATCCAATTGTGTTAAATGCAACTGTCTTCCAACATAAGCGTTGTTTTACTAAGAATTTTTCCAGGCACCTGAAGCCTCAACGTATATTTTTGAAGGGGGCACAAAAATGAGATACATACTCCCTCCTCCATCTCCTCTTGCTATGACTTACCAATAGCCCCATATGCCTAAAATCAAACACATGTATCCAAATCCACTGTTATTTTTTTTGCCCTATCCAGCTTCAATGTCCCACTAATTTCATATGAAGAGAACATACTCCTGTGATGGTTCCCTCAGATAGGAGTTTGCAATGGATTTCAGTTCTTCCTTAAGCAGGAAAAGGGTCTGTTGATACTCATGTTAGCACCTCCATTAGAAGGTTTAGTGACACCATTTCTTCTGTTTACCAAAAACACTTTTCCTGGGATGGCAGTCTCCTTGAAAAGATTACTGATTACTTCTCCTACAATGCCTGAAACCCAAAACATGCTGTTTTCATGTACCACGCCATCAAGCAAGGAAACACCAAACTAGACATGTTTACTCTCACATTGATAGTAGGCACTACTGAGACCAGTACGTTGAACAACCCTGGAATAATTTACAAGAAGGATAAAAAGCATGCCTAGGTAAAAGTCACATATATTCCCCTCCCCCCCAAACAATGAAAGAGTGGATCCTACAGACACAAACTTGATTTAAATCAAGAACAAAAGAACCAAAAATCAACTATTAAAAGCACAAAACCGCAGTGAAGAAAACAGGGCCAGCAGAGCAAACTGGTTGATTTTGTATTAATCACTACAGTAATTGTTAGATTGCTGTCAGTATACCCATGATAAATCATGACCATGAGATGTCCCAAAAAGACACACCCCTCTAAGGAGCCTAAGAAGTACTACGCATATATGCATTTTTAGTTTACCAGTTTAGAGGGTCACTGTAGGATTATAAAGAAAAAAGTAAGTTGGTATATGTTGAGATAAAGTTCACCATATTATACTGGTTTCTTATTTTGGCATGTATCCCATATTCTGCTGTCGAAATTAATGAATAAAATGCACTGGAGAGTGGAAGTGATGCACAAAAGGTAACTGACAAGCAAGAGACCTCAAATACAAAATTCTCAGAATTACAACTGGAACAGAGGTGTTCAAGGATGGCCAAAACCAAGCCGATGTGTGAAATTTTCGTATTTGTTGAACAAAACGGGAGACTTGGGAGAAGACAATACACTCATATAAATTAGGTGCATTCTCATTCTTGAAAAAAACAATTCTAAAACTATCAGAGAAATACTTAAGCATACATCATATATACTCCCTGGCTAACAAAAAGTATCAGTAATCTTGGGCATTTGCTGTAGAGCACTCCAGCGTATGTAGCTCCTAACAAGCACTTAACGAAGTGAAACATATTCTATCCAATTAGGCATCTTTCAAAACAGGAAAAAAGTTCCCTTCAAGGATTGTTTCATGAAATTTGTAGTTCTCATTAAGTTTCTCAAAAAACTTTTATGTGTCTTAGTTAATGCAAGGTAAAAGAAAACAAAGAACAGAGGTGGAAACAGAGGTCACAGAAATACAGAAATACTAGTAAGGTGCTCTGCAGTACATATTGCTATTTGGAGTTTGGAACTGGATGTCTAGAATGAATTTTCAGGAATTGGTTCAAAACAAGATGTGGTGCAGCTTCTAAAAACATTGCTAATACTCTTTTTGGGTTTGGGATTGTTTTTCCCCATTAGATCCTTTTCTACAAAACCAGTTAAAAATAAACAGTGTCTTAGCTAAATGTACTATCTTCACCATTGGCATGGTGGACTTTTTCTAGCCATATTAACATAATAACACTGGAATAAAATACATTAATTGTCAGCATCACTCATTATATGATCACTATGTAAATCTCTTGTGCAAAGACTTTATAAGCAAGTAGCATCCATTGTATACACATGTATAAAGTTATGCCACAATGCTGAAATTCCTCAAACACTGCACATTTTATACAAGCATATACTAAAAAACATTAGGATCAATGTAGGTCTATTTTAATACTGCAAAATAATAATGCATGCTATGGTATACAGGCAGGAGTAGAACATTTAAGTAAATTAAAAAATAGCCAGAAACACCATCCACATTATTGTTAGTTCTCTGCTCATCAAGAAGGAAACACTTATCTGCTATTACCAGTTGAGCTTTCCTTCATCTCCCAGTGAGAGAACACTATTTAGCAGGTTAGTACAAACTGGATGCTACAACTTATCTCACCATTTCGTTCAAGCAAGTGAGGGTCAGAATGTTTCTTGCCTATATCTGCAAAAGACCGAACCAGAGGAATCCGACTGCTGAATTTTTTCTCATTCTGATGATGGTGCCTTTTTAGGAGAGCCTCTCTCACATTCTCTCTTATGGATTCATCCAGCTGGCCAGAGGCAATCATGTTGTCCAAAACCATATCTATAAAATAATAACAAGAACAAAAAGAGACATTATATAGGTAGCTATCAAATCCCTCCTTCACCACATTCCAGCGCTGTAGTTGCACCCAATTAAAAGAAATATAAAATTTCTTCTAATAAAAATCTTTTCTTTAACAAAGTCACCTTCAAGAATCTGCAGGACATTTTCAAAGATCTCACTAAACAACTAGATGTGAGAATAAGGAAAGCACAGCATGCAGATCCAAGAGACAGTATTTATTAGTAGCACCATTCAAGAAATAAATTACTTAATATTTTGTAATGTATTGCCATTTACTTCAACTTTCAATGGCAACTCCCATTCAAGAAACTATCTATTGTAATTAACAAACCTATCCTAGAAGTGGGTACACAAAGACAGAAACATGATGGAAAACAGACATGACAGTCTTAGCCTGATGTTCCCTAATTTTAAAGTATATACAACTATATAAAAGTGAAAGTTACTACAGAATGAGATGAATTCCATAACTCCTCTGTCATCTTTGGATGCCCTAAGATCCTGAGACTCTCTACTGAACTTCATGTGATTCACATGCTTTAGAGAAGGAAGTGTAAAACAATGTCTAGTAATATCATGTAAAACTAACTAATCATCTGTCAAACAATATCAAGTTTCAAAAGGGCATCTCAGCAGTATGCTCACACCAGGAAAGAAAACCTCCATATCAGTGAAAGCATCTACTGTGATTTTTTAGCTGTCCTTTTTTTAAAATAATAAATAATAAATAATGGCCAGTCTTCGCGAGCGAAGATCCAGGGAAGGTCTTTACACCTTCCAGCCTGTGCATTGGATTTTTTAGGTGAGACACAGTGTGCGCGGAACTGAGCCCACCCTTTAATCCTAAGGTTCATCTGCCGGGGCCAAGCGAGCTTGGATGGTGGCAGCGAGGTCCTTAGGACATAGGTGGGTTGCCTTTAAGGCTAACGAGCCCCACCTGCCCGGGAGTGGCCCTGACCGGGAATCGAACCCGGGTCTCCGCGGTGATAGCGCGGCGCCTTTACCACTAGACCACCAGGGGCTGCCTTTAAAATAATAAGAAGTAAAATAAGTTCATAAAAAGCCCAACTTGCATAAGGCAACAAAAACCTATATGACAACTTTTCAAATATATATTACCAATGGTATCTAATATATTGAGAACTTAACTGCATTGCTAAATTGAAATGACATAGAACTTTTCACAATGAAAAATGTTAGGGCTCAAGATACCTTACTAACGAAACTATATGCAGCAAAGTGTCTGTCATTACAGTGCACCTTCCTTCTGGGATTACTGGTAACACACAGCCACTTGCTAGAGGTTCTCAGAAGGAAACCTGCCACCTTCTCCCTCCTCTTTGAGGAAGAAACAATAATACCTACTAGGTATTCCTGGTTTAAGGAAACAAGACAGTACATTTGTATACCAAGGACTGTTACCCTATGCACTTGACAATGGCATCTAAAATTAACTGGAAACAAATTCGTACAATCTCGTAAGACATCCTAGTTCCAACTAAAATACCCACTATCTAGAGTGCCATTTACATAGAATTAAGCAATAACTATTTTTCTTATGTACTAAGATTATTGCTAAATTCAATTATTAAAAAATAAAATTATAAACAAAAACATTACATTCACAGACAACGCATTGAATACTCTTGTTCAGTAAGTGAAGAAAATAGGAAGGGAATGACAATTTCCTGAGTGAATTTTGAGGATTTCAAAACAAGAAAACATTTCAAGCACTGCCAAAGTTTTTAAGGCAGAAACATCTTGTCCACATACATGGTAGACATATACTGGTCTGCCCTAATTCTAGTGTGGTTCCTGCAAATGCAATCCACTGTGTGGTACCTGTAGCAAGAGATACCAGGAAAATTATGTACAACTAATTCAAAGGCATTCAGGCTAAGCAGATATATATATAATGTGTATATATATATGTACGTGTGTATGTGTATATATTATATATACATGAAATTCTCCAAAGCTGTGTATCCAAAATGACCATGTGATTAGTGAGGACACTCAACATAGTAGGTCAAACAACATGTACAAAATTTATTTCTGCTCACCTCTTATAAAGGTGAAAAAAATACCAGATGAGCAACAACCAACTGCACTAATGGCATCAAGTTAACATCAGCCAAATTATGATTAATAATTATGGTACTAAAGTGCATAAATAACTCCTAAAATGTTCTGGCAGATATTTACAATTCATCTGTAGAAACAAAGACAAAGAACATATTCAGGGATTAGAATATAAAGGTAAATCCTGGGCCTCATCCTAAAATACGTACTAAAGGAGCTCCTACTCATCCAGTGTAGCTTTCTGTATGTGAAGTTTGTAGGAACCACATTCCTTATAATCAGATCAAGAAAACTGCAGTAAGCATGCACATATGTTTCTTCAATATAGTAATTAAAAAACCTAAAGACACCACCAAAACCACCTCAAATAGATTAAAACTTAGAAATAAAATATTTTTAATAAGTTTTGCTGCAACCTGCTATCTCATCAAGTGTGCTTGCTCTCATGTCCAACATGACCGTCCCGTTTAGAATACAGCTTCGTAGTTCAAAGAGACTGTGCAGAGACAAAGTTGCTACATAAGGCTTGCTCCATCGATCACCACCATCTTCAACATCCTCTTCAAATTTCAGCCACCTGAAATGCATTCACATACACATACTTATATTTCTCTTGGAAAGAAAATTTGGGAAATAATCCCATTCTTCCATGTGGCTTTGGCATAACACGGAACAGGAAATCGCATGAAATCAAATCACACCACCTTTCATTTTATGACACAGCCCAACTGATTGACATTTTTATCAGGTCTTTTAACCACACTCGAATGTTTTCGTTTTTGCCCATTTTGTTTCTTTTGGTTTGAACAATACCTGTCTATTCACACATTCTTGTGAAGAGCATGGGACTGTGCCTTGTTACTTGATTTGCATATCTTGATTTTGTCAGTATTTTAGGACTAGAAAGCTGTCTGAAACACCATATAGCATGTTCAAGTCTCCTAAGGGTTCTATGTCAGATATTTAAAAACTGGGCAATACTAATATGTGCAACTATAAATTGATCTTGATTCCAACTCACAGGCATTACACAAATCAAACTTCTGCAAAAGCTAGCATGCAACAAGGTAGTCTGAAGTACTGAATGTAGAAAAATTTATTACAATGCATATGTGGAGGGAAGCAACTAAACCAGTATGGGTCAAAAGCAACCATGGCATCCTGTAATGTTCATGCATGCAATTTGCAAAAAACTGATCAAATACTACCAAAGAAAAACATAATTCCTGATTTTATTTATGTCTGAGTGAGAAAAAAACTACACCAATTTATTGGCAATAATATACCAGAGAGATACCGATTCATTGATGAACACCTGTATTAGTAACTCAGTGTAGTCCTACCTTTCACAGTGTTTGGTATGATCAGTATTAGGGAAGTGAACACACCACCGACCAGTAAGCCTGAGAGTCTCTGGAGAAACCATATGGATTGTTTCAGAGTTGGACAAAAAACCCAGAAGTTTTGTTTAGATGAGCATGACTTGAGTAGACAACTCCTACAGTTAGTGAAGATTCTAACCCAAACCTGGCTTGCAGTTCTTTGAAATAAAATCACTATAATATTGTTGGGAGGAAAGGTTTAAAAGAAGAAGAATGGTGAGAAGGATGGTAGATTCGCTCAAGTGACCTTGCAGTTGGAATGCCAAGGTCTGGAAAATAACAGTGTGGGAAACCCCATATACAATGCCTCCTGTTGTTTAACCTTTGTCTGTTTTGAGAAGTAGAATCTCCATGCAGAGATAACATAGGTCTTTGTTACAGAGACTTGGAGGCACTCCTATGGACATGTTTGAGCTCCCTATCTTGGAAGAGAAATCAAAACTCAGAGATGATAAAAAAAGCACAGGGGGATAAAAGTATGGTGGTAAACTACACATCGCAGGCCTTTCATACATGGGTGCAAACAGCAGGCCCGCTGCCCGTCAGGATGGACTGAGCCTTACAGTGCTGGTGTTCCTGCTTGTGTGTCTCAGTCTGGGTGCTGCTTCAGGATCCTCCAGTCAGCCAAGTAATGAAACAAATTTACCTTTTGCATTTTAACCGTGGTTTTGTGGCTGCTCTGGATGCCTGCATGTGTCAACCCACACACGTATACCTTGAAGCAATCTACTCCCAGCATACCTAGCCGTTTCTCTCCATTCATATTCTTCTCCATCCCTGAAGTAAAGTTCATCCATTTCAGTGAAGAGATCATGAGGAATGTGTTCATCATCATCTTCGGTACCCAAGATAAACTGGACTCGTTGAGATGGTGTGTCTTGAAAAAAAGGAGAAACTGATCAATTAAAAGAATTCATACTTCTATTACACAAGAAACACTACTTAACAGTAAAATTTCCTGCTCTCAGCTAGAAATGTGCAGCACAACATCTTTAAGAAGGAAAAGGAACAAAAGAAACACAGACATTTCTTTAAAAGGAGGTTCTCTGAAAATTTTATATTGTTTCTGAAAACAAAACATCTGAAAATTTATCTTTATGAAAAATAATTAAGTATTTTTAGCTCTTCTATAGATTGCCGATGTGCAAAAAAAAAAATCAACAGCAAAATTGGTTTTAAAAAAAGTAAAAATTAATATACCAAAAGGCTAGAAACCTTGTTTTCATTTTGAGAACAAAATAAATGATACCACCATAACACAGTTACTAATTATAGGAGAAAATGAGAAAACAAAACGGGTTGTTGGAAAAAAAACAGCCTGATTTATAGATCAGTTGCCCAAATAATAGCTGAAGATACTCAAATTGTGAGTACTCAGGCACTCGTATTGTTAGAGCAGAAGACTTTTCTATGGTCTGTTGCTACTAACATAGGATGAGAAATTAATTTTTTCATTGTGTGGTTGGAGCACTATGTATAAATTAGCATAGTAGAGTAGAAACTATGCAGTTAAAATGTTGAGGAAATATTCTAACTTCTCGTAATATAATAATGCCCATTGGAACAGGCTCAGTAGAAACTTGTAAGGAAATTACACTATCTTTATTGATTAAGTACTGGATTTCACTGCTATGACCAAAACTTAAAAAAAAATCCCCACCAATAAAAGCACATAGGTTTAGATACTTTTAATACCTATATAAAGACTTGGTTTCAATTCAAGCAGATTTTCAAATTACCAGGGATCAATAATGTAGTAATTATAATGTTATCTCAGGAAGGTCAGAGACAGAAAATCCAGGTAAATCTCAATTTTAAAGATTTCATTTTTTTTCACTGAAACATCACTCTCACAGCTATTAGATGTGAACATACAACTGTATGCTTCTAGTGTAGAAGTAACAGCACCCTTTAGATTTAGACATAAGATCTGAATTACTAACAAACTTCATTCAGAATTGGATTTTGCTTTTGCACTGATGTTCTGGCATAGATCATCATCCAGTAGCAATTCTGAAATGAGCTCTTGAATGCAAACAGCATTCATTATCAGATCTATAGCACATTGTTTCTGTCTCAAAACCAGTACAGGCCAAGAATCCTGCCATATCCTGTGTATCCTGGATAAAGAAGTAACCAGAACAGAGAATTGATTTTTTATCAATTTAATATCACTTGTTGCTTCAAAAACGGTAGAGCAAGACTCTACAAATATAACGTCAATTATAATAATTTACGTTTGGGAAGGGAAACCTTGAAGATGGATGGAACCAAGAGCCAGAGGAGAATGGTAAAAGGAGACTTGTAAAAGCATTCCCATTTGAAGACTCCTTTTTTTCAGGTACTGGTCCCATGCAGAACATGGTTCTAGTTATAGAAAGGTAACAGTGAACAGCACGGTGTCCACACTTGAATTACAACATTGCAGTGCAGCCTGACCATTCACTGCAGCCCAGGAATAATAGTGGACACAGGGTCTTGAAGAAAAACTGCTAAGAGTACTTAAATAATTTCATTTCAGAGAATGATATGAAAAAATTACTGTCTCTTGAGGATAAGAGGTAGACTTGGGGGCAGTTTATGATCCAAACCAGAAACTTAGGAGGCACTACAATTCCTTTACTAACAGACAGCAAAAAGGTTGAAGTAAATACTTAGATCATTGATCAAATTACCATGGAAAAAATGCTGCTTCACATTCTTACTTTTAAAAATCAGACGAAGAAGCATACACGACTACACAATCTGAAAAAAGGTGTCTAATTTAAATAACACAGATTTTCATGCTACAGGAGAGCATTACAAAGCTCTAGTCTAACCTATTCAGTGCAGGCTGCTGAACATTCATGTGGACAGCTGGACCTAGTCCAATAGCTTATGACTTAGAAAAAACACAGTCACAAAATCCTGGTCTGGTTGTACATAGAAAGACATTAATTACTGAATGAGAATAAAAGAAATAGGACAAAACAAGCAACATTTAAGCAGAGTTAACTACTACAAGTTTATATCCAAGAGAGGCAAAGAACTTGCGCAATGAATTTCTTACCATATGATGGAGATTCTCGGCCATCCTCTCTGTCAGTTTCTTTTTCTTTTTTCCTCCTGTGATGCCTGTGCCCACGATGTCGATGCCGCCGACGGCCTGGCTTTCCAAGTGGGACATGAACTCCAATATACACAGCTCTGTGGCCTATTCAAGAAAATTTAAAAGGAAACAATTAAAGAAAAAATTATCTCCTGGTCCTATTTAGTGTCTAGAGACAAGGGGTTTGACAAAAAGAAATCCAAAAGCACTTGACCAAACTACCTTTAGTAAACTACCGAGACCACTTCCTTTCTGTCCTTCCAGAGGGTCAAGCAACTAGTGCTAGACTCATTTCCTTGATAAACTGAGCCACATTCTTACTCAGTTTAAGAATTCAGTTGTGAAACAAGTAATACATAAATACAAGTTTGACATGTAACACTGAAAGAAGCTACTTGATAAACATGAAGCCAAGGCAGAGGAATTACACTTTTTTGTGTAATTTTTTGGTAAAGCTCCTCTTTTTTGCAGGGATTAATACCAGGACAGTCACTAAACTGGCAAAATGTAATCTCCTGGTTCAGCTTATTAGCATCGTTAAGAAATCGACCCATCATTTAGAGTCTGCAAGGAGTTTTCTCTTCTTGAAAGAGTTGCCAACATTTTCTCAAGTAGCATGTAATACATTTAGATGGATGTATTCAATTATACTATTAATTTAGTATCAGGAACATAGTAAGAACTTATATTTTGAAGTGTATGTCAACACCTCAAATAACTTAGAGAGGCTGGGGTTTTTTTTCCTATCCTAGCTTTTTTTAAATAAATTTAGGAGGACATCCTCACATTAATAGACTGCTCTTTAAACAATATACTTTAAACACCTTGTTTTCCTTTGACCTTTCACATTAAGACAATACTAGCATCAACAACTTGGCAAAAGAACTCAATCAACAGTGTTATGAACATATTACTACCACGTCTCCTGTAATGGAGATAGCATATACAACAGCCTTTTCAATTCCTATTTAAACAAACAATCTCAGGAAGAGACATATTAACTAGAAGCCTGCAGGTTAACACTAAATATTCTGTTTCATACTGCAGAAGAGTTATTTCAGAAGACTGACATTAACCAAAGGAAAAGGAAGTGGTTTTCCAGCTCTTAGACAGATGCAAATTCAGCAAATTTACATGTTACAAGCAAGCCCTAGGAGCTGTGACTGTACACATACATATATTTGTGTGTAGAGAACACATAGATTAGACTGAAGATATCAAAAAATCCTGATGATTACAGAGTTTTAAAGAAATAAAAAGTGTTAGGATGTTAACCTTGTTTTCCAAAAAAGAATCCCTAAGCCCAAAAAGATACTGGCTTTATAGAAGTTTTGTGTATTTTTACAGTGCTACATGACTAAAAATACATGTAAAAATCAGTATTAACACATGAGTAGGTTCAATGTTTAATTAATTTGGTCAAGACTCCTTTTCACATAACAAAACCCAATTCTTGACAGACTTCCAAGACTAGTTTAATTAGAGTCAACTGACTGGCACTATGACCAAGTCTGAAATTAAGCATATTAAAAGCTATTTGTTTCCATGAGTGGAAAAGAGATTAATATAGAGTCCTATTTATAGAGAGAGACTTTTGTGAGCTTCTTCCAACAGGAATACCAGCCCCTCCTGGGCAGCCTGACCTCAACCCTCCATGACTGCTATGCACAATGCAATTCCCAGAGAAATTAATGCCAAGGTGACACCTAAACACAAATCAATGTACTTGCTATATAATATGACCAGGAGGCACCATTAACAATGGCCATGTTATTGATACCATCTTGATACAATGATCTTATGCACAGAGAAAGCAAAAGTGGTAGGCTCAAAAATTATTGCATTACTCAACACACCCCACTCAAAGCTGCCTGGTGCAACAGAGTGAGCCACCACTCACTGCAAATGTTGTTATCATGCCCACTGGGATTTCTGTTTTATTTTATATATTCAATTGGTAATTATTAAACAACAGTTTACATATACATCTAAACAGTTCTATTCATTGTCAAAGTGTTGGATTTTTTTGCAGGAACTATTTCTTCCTAAGAGAAACTCCATCATTCTTCTACCAGTAGAACATTTTATGGAATTGCTTGGTTTAATATTGTTAATAAGACCGTTTTAAGCATGTGTTTTGAACATTGTACGCCAAAAAAAAAAAAAAAAAAAAAAAAAAACCACCTTGCAGTAATCTGAAACTGTTCGAGATTTTACTTCCTGAAAAATTGGAAGGACTTCCACATTTTGGTCTCTTGCTGTTCCCATAAATTAGAGACAAAGATACCACACTGTTTTCTGTCCTCAATAACAAACAAAACTCCCACACAATTTTTTCAAGGGCCTCCATCTTCAACAATATAGCCTGCTATTGCAAAAATTGGCATTTGTAATAGTGTGATCATTCCCACAGTCAAAGACTATGTTGCTGCATGAAGGGGAAGTACAACAAGCAAATGAGGAGTCTATCTCCTTTTACAAAATTGCAGTCTGACAGAAAATTTTTTTCAGTAGAAAAAGTTTGAAGAAGAGCAGATATGTTGCAGAGGGACAGGCAAAAGCTATGGAAAACCAACCTGAAATAAGTGACAAACCAAAAGTATTTTTAAACAACCTGTGTCCATAGCAAACTGCTTTTCCACCGAAATGCACTGACCTCTCAGCCATGACTTATCACACAATCATGTCCAGGTGCCTCACAGTTGCTTCAAGGCACCCAAGTAGGCACTGCCAGTCAGTCAGCCCACAACCTACAACACTGACATTGCTTTTCAACTCTAAAAGGAAACTTTAAAGAACCCACCTTCTCGCTACCCTAGCAAATCAGAGTCTCACAAAGACAGAGGAACCCAGACACGTAGTCTTGTAGGCAAATGAAAAACAAGAATACCTTCCCCAAACCACTTCTGTATGTGCAAAGTGACTGCTACACCTGCAACGGTATCTTGGGATGATATGAAATGTTGATGAGAAAGATGATTTACAGCAACGATTAAGTAAAATGCATCACAATCCAATGCAATCCTATTAGAGTAAGTTGAAGAAAAAACTTGGTGCTGAAAAAGAGCCTCTGAATTATTCTTTTTCAGAGCAAGCATTGGGGGTGGCAGTACAACAGACTAAGAAAAATTTGGCTATTGCAAACAGTGCACCAGACTGTTGCTTAAGAAAGGGACTTTTTTTTTCAGTAGGACAATCTGATATCAAACTGTTATCATCAGTATGACAAACTGATGTCAAAAATAAAGACATCTCAACTACTACCTAGGAAATCCAAAACTATTGCTGCCATTATTAAACAAAAACATATTGCAGGTACATTCATTCCAAAGGCAGGGCAAAATTAGAAAATAAAAGTTGGACACTTTGATTCTAAATCAACAAAGAAAAGCACTGAGAAGCCCTCTAAGCTGCACTGAGTATAAGACAGTTGCATTGAGTAGGTCCATGTTTCCTTAAGTTTCATTATTCAGATAGGAATATTAATATCTGCAGGTGGACAGATAAATATTTACTTACAAACACAATTTACAAGGAAAAGCAAAACAAAATAAAAGTACAGGGATTTTTTTTTTCCTTCATCCCCAATTAATTCGTTAAAACAACTTATAGTACCCTTCAGCCTAGCAAGAAGAACAAAAAAAGAAAAACACCATACCACACCCAATCAAAAAAACCAACCAATCAAAAAACCATGCAGAAAGGTAATTAATATAAAATTATTATAATAGCAATGGAGAAAAAGTTAGCTCTAAAAAGGTTGGAATTTATATTTCTGGCATCGGTGTTATTTCTAAAAGGAACACTACCTTTTACTTGAATATTGTTTTTTAAAAGCTTGAAAGGTACAACTATGTGACCTTCAGAGCTTTATTCACATAAATGTCTGTACCATAGTACAACTTTCAAGCAAATCTTCTTATAGAATTACTATAAACCAATAATCGATAGAATTAGTAGACTTCCCAATACTAAATTTAGTAATACAAAGCTCAAGAGATAATTGCTCATTTTAATCCAACATGACTTTATCCAAGCTTAGCTGTTCAAATCCACCAAGAGTATTTACTACTTAAGGCCCTTATCAGTATGAAACAAATTTAAATGTTAGGAACTTGAAACATCTCTATCACATGATTGGTATCACTCCAAAAGTCAGTTTGTGTGAAGTTCTTTAAAATTCACAAAAAAGAAAATGCTTTAAGTTCCCCAATTTCTCCCCAAAGCCCCTATGAAATGGTACTAGAAGACTTATGAAGTCAGAGAGATCAAAAACACGTATCCAAAAATGCTCTGATGTGGAAATGCCTGAAGTACAGTTCCACACAGAACTTCCTATTTTCTTTGGCTAGACGCCTTTTAAGCTTCATACAAAGAACATTCTTCCACATGTTAACACAGTATAGAAAAAAATTCAAGTGTATACCTACGTGAATTCTCAAATCCTATTACTTCGAAATTTGAACTAAGAGAGATCATATACTAATGATGGAGGTAAGGACCATCTAGAGGTGAGCTACCCAGTCCAATCTTGCTCAAAGTACAGCCAACTTTAAAGCTGAAGCCATCTTTTTGGTCAGGTTGGTTAGGATGACAACCAGCCAGGCTTTTACTACCTTTAAGGATATATACTCTACAGTCTCTCTGGGCAACCTATAACAACCTATAGCAATATAATGCACGACAAAAATTTCTTAATATTCAATCATCACTTCCAATACTGCATCTTACATGTGGTTCCCCTCATCCTTTCAAAATGCACCTCCAACAAGAGTCTGACTCTATCTTCTCAATAACCTCCCAAGTCTGCTGAAGACAAAAACCTTTGTGACAAGAATTACTACTTCTTCCTAAAATCTTCAAATAATAATCTGAAGATATATAATTTATTTTAAACAGAGATAATGTCTCAGGTAACGTCTTTGTCTATCTTGCCTCAATACAGAGCATTCCAGTATGGAAAACCTGGAGAATCTGCAGGAGAGATCCTAATTTGCTCCTTTAGATCATAAAATGGGGGGAAAAAACCCCAGTTCTTTTGTTGTCCCTTAACTGACGTCTCCAAATGCATTACCCTAGTAGGAAAGATTTGGAACATAGCATCT